TTCGATTCTGTTAACATATTGTAGCTTGAGATTTTCTGTTTCTTCAAGTTTCATTTTAATTTCTGCCTGTTCTAGTTTATCGACTAGTTTTCTAAAGTCTAAATCAGGTTCTCGAATTGAGGAAGGATGTGATGCTCTCTTTTTAATAGCTGTTTTTCTAAGCTGGGGTGTCAGAGTCATCATTAAAATTTCCGTCATTTTCCTGTTTTTATAATCATGTGTATTGAGTGAATATGCTTTTCGAACTAGTGTTTCGATTCTTACTGCCAATTGTTTAATTGTTTCATTTGGTAATCTGCGAATTTCATTACATAAAACTCCTTGATGTTGTTTGTTTCTTTCAGAATCAAACATTTTTGAAAATTCTTGTGTGAATCTTTTCCGATCTGATTTTATGTCTATTGGTAGAACTAAAAACCATTTTTGAGCTGCGGTATCATATGTTGTTTGTATTAACGCTGTGCGTCGATGTATCCAATTTTGGTGAAGTGGTGTGTTAATTGGTTCAGGTCCTATATTCAAAATTAAATTTGCTGTAACTGCATTTAAATAAACTTCTACAGAATATTCAGGATCTGTGCCTGTAAATACCATCAATGCTTTTTTTTGATGTGATCGAAGATCCACCTATTAGGTATGGATTCATCGTCATTTGTAATGATTCAGCGGCATTTGGTATCTGTAAAAAAGTTTGTAAGTTGATTTTTTGCGATTTCATGTTGTTGTAGGTAATATGGTAGTGGTATTTCATTTAACATTTGTGTTGGTTGGTAAGAATGCATATCAGCTGAGTTTTGTGGTTGTGCTGGTTGATAAGACTGTATGGTGATTGAATTTTGCATCTGTAACGATTGGTAGCTTTGTTTATCAGCTGGGTTTTGTGGGTAAATTTTTACATTTTGATATGTTTGAGTTTGTCGGGGTTTTTGTGTACGCTATTCTTGGGTATATGGTGCAAAAATATCATGTTGGAAATAATCATCATCATCATCGGATGATAAATTGTTTGTATAGTAGGGTGTTTGTTGTTTATCTAATTTGTTGGAAAAATGGGTAATTTTCACTACGATCTTGTGGGGGATATGGGTGATCTTGAAAGTTTACTGGGTTTTGTGATGTATTTTCAAGATACCATTTTTGTGAAAACAAATGATTTTGTGTATTTCTGCGGTGGGGTTTGTTGTTTGTGATTGATTGACATAATTATAATTGTGTTCCGCAAAATTACTTCTTGTAATTTTTTTTCTTGTTTCTGATGGTTTTGTCATTGGTCTATATGTTTGATAGTCCATATGTGAATACCTTGGAGCAACCGAGGGTTTAACCGTGGTTTGTAATGTTACTTGTGGTAATGTTGGATTTTTGGGTCTTGATGTTGTGAGATTTGGATGTATTGGTGAAATGCTTTGTTGCGTATTTGTCGCTATTGTTTCAACTATTTCTTCATTTACCACTTGTCATGCTATTTGAATATCTTGTTGTCTAAAATTTGGAGATCGATTTAGATTTTCCTGTTGTATAACAGTTGAATTTAAACTATTATTTTGTGTACCAGGTAGGAATGAATTATAGTTTAAAGGTGTTGCATCTATTGTAAGTGAAAATACCTTTACGTAATCTTTGTGGATTGATTTTGTACTAATTGCTTGACTTGAGATGTCTACTGGAAAGTTTAAAAATAGTGGGTGAGACCATTCAGGGTCCCAAACATAATCTGATTGCTCTGCAATGACCGTGTCATCATTGGTACTTTGAGGTCTAAAGCTTTTTCTTGCTTGTGCAACTAAATCAATATTATGTGTGAAATAATCAAATAAAAACCATGCTAAAATTTTTTGTAAATCATGTTTAGCATTTTGTGAGACGTCGTTATTGATAAGATTTTCACGGATTGTGTTTAAAAATGCTGAAAATGCGGCAATTTCATTTCTAACTTTTGTGTGTTTTGATGATTCAAGTGGTGATGTACTTCGTGTTTCTGTTCTTTCTAGTATAGATAAATAGGTATATTTTATTACAAAAGTGGAAATACTGAATTCGCTCTTGGTGAATATTGAATTCGCTCTTTGTGAATTTTGGTGCTGTATGTTTTTAATGTACTCTGTGAATCCTTTTGAAAATTTGATGTCAATCTCATCTGTTTAGATGACATATTTACCTTGAAATTTACTCGGTGTACTGAGTTCTATGGTGTAAATTCCATATTTTTGTATTAGGTTACATATTCTTTTTAAATAATGATCAACAATTTGTCTTTTGATTTTTATTTCGGGGAATTCTGCTTTACATGGGCTGGTTCCCCGTTCGAATAAATTTGCGATTAGAGTATTAAAAAATTGTGTTTGTCCTCTATCATCAGTGAGTGAAGTAATGTTAAATGGAAAAACGGAGTGTTCGTCTGGACTTTCATAGCTTTGAGTATATCTCATTTTTTCGTTTTATAACTGTTAGTACGTAATGTTCAATATGTCTGATTGGTTGATTACAATTGTATAAATGTACTGGTTTATTTTTGCAAATCTTTTTTATTCGTCTTTTTCCTTGTTTTAATGAGTATGATGTGGCTTCTGAGTCAGAAAAAATAATTGGTCATGGATTGGGTAATTTTTATTTACCGTTTCTTTCAGTTTATAGAGTGCGTCTAAATTACTGACTTCTGATTCGGAGACTGCGTTTCTTTTCTTTGAAAATCTTTTTCGTGTAATCTGTCTTGTTTACTTATAATTTTTCTATTTATTGTTTGTCGGTTTGTTCGAATGTATCCAATTGTTTGTGTATGTGGAGTAGTTACGAGATTGTTTTTGATTGTCTATTTCACGGTTGTGTATTACGATTGTTTGTTTATTACCTAAATTTTTTGTGACATAAGGTTTAGGATGAAAAGATGCAAGGATTTTATCCTAGTGATTTCAATATCCTAGACTGTTAGTCCTTACAACTTTTTGGTTAGCCTAACTTGGGTCATGTATATAGGGTTGGAGAGAAAAGTATATATCGATTCCTAAGAATGGTTGTTACTTTCTCGTGGCTATTCTGAGTTAAGATGTTAACTTACTTAATCTTACTTAGGGTTAATGATTGTGTTCAAGGGTTGAAGAATAGTAAATCAATCCACAAGGTTCAGATATAATTAGAACGCAAGTAGTTCGTTAGATTCTGTTTTAAACTTACTAAGTTTAAGATTTATCCTGGGTCATATAAGAGGAGAGGTCAAGTGAAGGATGAATAACCAAAGTTCTTCACTGTTTAGCCTAATTACAATGGTTAGAGTGATTGAAAAATTTCTATTAGTCCTACGTCTTTTGATAGGGTTGGATAATGAAACGACGTTTGAGGTCGTTAGACACTTGTTAAGTGGGCGGGGGAGAACAAAATTGTTCTATTTGATCCAAGGATAAGCCTTGATGATCAGTATAAGAAATTTTAATACAAAATTTATGAATTTAGAAATGTAACTGACATCCAAGGAAAGCCGTGATGATCTAATCTTAAGTTTAAAAAAAGTTAAGTTAAGTGAGGATAAAATTTAGGATAAGCCTTTTTAAATAATTTAAAGTTTATTTTGATAAAAAAAGGTTTAGTTGCTTATAATATTAGTGGGTTTATGATTGCTGTTATGTTTAGTCGATGAAGCTAGAGATGGTACGATGATTTATGTTTACTAAAAACTTATGATCATTGGTACTAATTTTTATTTTTGTATTTAATAAATATATTTTTCAGATATCTCTTTTTGAATTTACTGCAGAATTGAGGAGAACGATTTGAGATGTTTTTATTAATCGTTATTGTACAATAATAAATTTTGTTTAGAGCCTGAAATAATCATTGAAGATTTTCTTCAAGGATTTATGTTTGCAAATGAAAATCTAAATTCATTGCTTGTAAGAATCTAAATATAAAAGTTTGTACTGGCTTTTGCCGTACGACCATGAAACTAAATGGTAAGTTCCTATGTAGTCGTAGATCGTCTCTTGTCCGAGGTCTTTTTCCAATACCGGGTAATTCTAGTATTGTACGGAATAGCTGCTCTGATCTATTGAGTCGTAGAGACATTTCAATTAAATTATTATCGTGTAACATATTGAAAATGTTTTGTCTAAATCTCATCTAGTTAGTTCTAAACTAATTTTCATTTAAGGTCTAATTTGAGACTTATGGTCGCACCAGATGAGTTAAGTCCGATTGCTTAGTTCATAGAGTAATTTCGGATAGGGTACACACTCTGCTCGTCACGCTATCTTATTTTCGGCCGGATAGATTCGTGCAACTTCTTAGTCTAATACCGATCCTAATCTTACTCTTATATCTACTAGTCTCAGGGTGTTTAACTAGTCTCTGCTAGGCTCAATAGATTTTTTATGAAACGATAAAAAAAAATTATAATCCATTAAAACTTTAAATTTTTAAACTGGCATCTATAATCGATTATATTGTCCAATATTTTTGCCAATAAAACTCCATTATAATCGATTTTATTAAAGGAACTCCGAGGGAAAAAATTAATTTGAAAATCGGCCTGAAATAAAAAGAAACCCCCAGTGCATATATATTCCACGTTTTCTTCAAAAGTCGGAACAAAAAAAAACACTTGCTTCGTTTCCATTTGGAACGATTTAACCCACCGCTTACTGCGACCTTTAAGAAAGTAAGCGCGGCTATTTAAATCTTTCCAAATTCTATTGTGGCAAGTCATATGCAACTTTTTGTTCTTTCAACAGTGTGTTAAGTTAACGAACAAAACTAGAAATAGATTTGAAAAAAAATTAAGTAGGCTTTGAACAACTTTTCGAAGCATGAAATTGTTTTCATTGATGGTACACCTTTGATGTGATCAGTATTTTTAATCTAGTCGTAAAACGTATTATATAGGAGTTTTATAAAAAAAATTTTGGTACATTTTCTTTCTGGTAATTTTTGTCGCCATTACATAATGCGCTCTCTTAAACAGCAATCAACTAATGTTGTTATTTTGCTATTTCATTATTTTGAGTGCTTAGGAAAATCTAATCGAGAAGATGAGTCGATTCTTTGGAGTGGATGTTGCCGAGTTTAACGAAAACGCGACAAACACTGGATTTGGGTTTCGTCCCGATTTTTCCGGCGGATTCAGTGGGCCCCCCTTTTGGGCGGTTGTGACAAACTGGGTTGTATCTGGGACTTCACTTGTGTCCCAGGGAGTTGTCGTCCTCATAGCCCGGGGGCTAGAAGGGGACTTTTCTGCGCGGACGCTGATGTGGATGCAAGCTATCTTCGAGTGCTTCAAGCGAATCCTAAGCATCATCATGACCTGCTACTCAACCAGTGAGTTTCCTAATAATAATAACATGAAAGAAAGATAGAAAGTATAGAAATATAGAAATCATAGGCAGTAATAAAAAACACACATTTAAAATTAACACAACAAAAAGTATACAAATTAAGTAAAATGTATTTTCATTTTTGTTTGAATTTCATAAATTTATAAAAGTCAAAGTGATACATTTTTGGTTTTAAATATTCAACTGAGACAAATGCAAGTGCTGTTTTCTTAAGAACGGATTGTTTTTTATCTAAAAGCACTAAATCAACTGCAATTCAATTCAGAGGTCTATTTATTGTTCCGACATTTAAAAAATGTGGAGGAACTTTGTATTGGGATGTGTATTAGTTTTTTCTTTTTTTTTGTTTTCCACACAAATCAGGTACCAGAGAAATCATCGGATTCGATTAATATATCATTTAAAGCCTTTTTACTCGTGACTCAAACGACATTGAAAGTTTCGGAAACAACCCCAGTGTCGAGAAGAACCGGTTTGAAGTTTCCGGTTTTTCGACATAATAAAGTGATGATAACTTGTTAAACTGGTCTTTTATGCTACAAAAATTTAATTTTTTTGAATGGAAACTAATTTTGAAAGCTTTATACGATACTTCCCGTTCATAATTTTTTATAAAAAAAATTTCAAAAATCTCGAATTAGATAAAAGTAGAGAAAGTTTCGATTTTTTTGAAATATTTTTTCATTTGTTGTTTAGTATTTTTTATGAAGACAGTTGTTGTACAATATGCTTAATTTACTAAATTTATATGCGTGTGTATATTTTTATTATCACACCACGTACAAAAAAGGTCAACAATTTGAAGAACTTTCATTTGTAGTCTTTATGAAAATGGTCGGAAGATTCTGTTCTACTTGTATAGTAACCGGCGGGCGACAATTCGTAAAAAGCGACACTTCGTAACAGGCGATAATTCGAAACAAGCGACAAATCGTAACAAGGCATTGGCAAGTAGAAAACGCTTGCTCCGCTGTGCTTACAACCGGCACGAGATGAATACTGCGTGTGAATCAGTGTTCCTCGCGCAATCTACTGTTACGAATTGTCGTATTTTACGAATTGTCGCATCACGATAGCAACCGGCTATTCTTGTTAATCCGACTATTGAAAAAAGGAGAAACTTTCTATTCGGGTGTGTTTTAGTTTTTTTCTTTTTGTTTTCCACACAGAACCAAGTAACACAAATAATCTTCGAACTTGGTTCAGTGATGTATCATATCAAAGCCTTTACAGTTTCGATTTGAACCATCTTTAATACTTTCAAAAAAAATCACCGGTGCTCAGAAAAAATGGTTTGCATTTTTTTTGATTTTTTGTTTTATTTCGAGCGAATGAAGCCAGCGAGCAGGCCTACATTTTAATTGTTCCTAAATTAATGCTTAAAAGCTTAGATTTAAGCTAAAAAATTAGTTGTTGGAGTTTTTTAAATTATAGAACAAAAAGAAACATTCAAACATTTCCTGCGAAATCATTGAAAAAAATTGAATGTTTTTTTTTATTTTTGTAATTTTAGTCATTTTTCTACAAATAATTTTGTCCAATTGGCCTATATTACATTCTCAAAAACGCGCACTCATTGTCAGAAAACCCGGGTCTGCAAGCTTCGTTGCTCTCAAAACCAATTTCAGCTGATTTTTAGACTGATTTTACTTTTTCATTACCAACCTGACTCTGGAGCAGTTCTTAAAAACTTTAAATTATTTTTATTATTGAGTCAATGAACGTGGTGGAAGCTTTTATATAGGTCGCGATGATTTTTTTGTTTGTTTCTCTTAGTAAAAATTTTTAAGTTTGTTCACGCTCAAATTTTACTTTTCGCAGGTTCTTTTTTCATTGATTGGACCATTTGCAAAATGTGGAGAAACACAGTATTCGGGTGTGTTTTAGTTTCTTCTTTTCAACACAAAATCAGATACTAAAAATATGCATCACAATAGGACGAATGATACACCAAACTGAAGCCTTTTTAGTCGTGAATCGAACGACATTAAATACATTTTCAAAAATTTTTCTCACTATCGATAAAACCTGGTTTAAATTTTTGACTTGGATTTCAGTTTTGAGCGAAAAAAGCGAGCTTGCAGGCTTACAACAGCGTCAAATATGCCAAATATTTTTCTAGCAAGTTAGTTTTTTGGCGATTTCATACAAACATGGTAATGTGACAAAAACGAATGAAAATCTATATAATTCAACTTGAGCGACAATTGGATGTGAAATATAACGATTGCATAAATCAGCTCTGCAATAATTGAAGAGTTCAAAATTTCTAAATATATGCTCCTTTGAGTTTGAAAGGTCTGATATTTCTCAGATCGCTGCAAGTTTGAAGGAAATTTGCCCTCGGGTGAGTTTTTTAAAGTAGAAACCAAGAAGAGTCGAGTGATATTCAAGTTAACCTCTAAATTTACAATTTATTGATCGTTTCCTAAAAAGAGCACTCAAGAAAAATTGCGGTAAAGCCAGAAGACAAAATTCTCATTTTTCTGGCTCATTAATTATGTACAACATCCAAAGAAGCTTGAAAAATATATCGGTTTCATACGGGGAGGGGATGATAGAGCAGCATTCGACTTACCCGAAAAAAATATCTGATTTGCCGAAAAATTCTAACAGTGACACAGGAATCTGCCGCCACGCAAAACATAGGCGGTAAAATTTGTCGAAAAGTGAAGCGATCAGCCCTTCATTCCAAGCTTGTATCTTTTCCTTGTTGAGAAAGGTTAAGATGAATTTCATGAACTTCAAGCGCCAGTCGCACCTCAGCCGTGAGAGTGAAAAACACTTCATTTAAACTAAAATGTACACTATAATGTAAAAAAATGAATCAAAACAGATGATATTGTCCAGCTTCCGTAAATTTACTGGCAGAGAAGTCCACTTTTTGGACTTCAAAAAAGCAGTTAAGCAATGGTTTTCCATTAATATTTGCAGTGTGCGATGGTTAGTTTTAAATCTAGCTGTCAGTTTTCAATGGTATTGACATCACGAGTCCAAACTGTGCACTGAATAGGCGCATAATTTGGTGTCTGTCTGATCTGCTCCTGGATTCCAGAGACAAGACTTTAAACATGTGAAATTTGTGTCGGAACAATCAAAGGAAATGAAAGCACAAAAGAAGAACAAAGGGAACGTCCTTGTTGCGGAATCCGCTTAATTTTCCCAAAAAGCACAGTTTGGCCTCGTAATGGGCAAAAATTTTTCTTTAAGTGAGTTATTGATGTGAATATATCACAGTTTTCACTTCAATTTTGCTTTCAGTCTCAATTAATAACCCGGGTTGACCAAAACTTCTTATCATACAATTTCCATATATGAGAAACTTCTTGTCATACAATTTCATACAATTCCATACGTACAGAAAATTGTATGAAAACTCTATGATAAGCATTTTTCCATATATGAAAATTGTATGATAGGTGTTTTCCCATAATCGAAAAATTTTGATTTTTTCTTTCTAAATTTATTTTCTGAAAAATTTTCGGTTGTAGTTCCAACCAAACACAAGTGACAAAGACCTTGGTTACTCAAAACACCAAAGGTTGGACGGTCTTGCATTTACAATGCATAGATAACGACCTGAATTTGGCTGTCTTTCACAATTGATATAACAAAAGTAACAAACATTTATTTTTTGGCAAAATTTTTTAATGATGATTATATTAAATTTTTGAATTTTCAAATTATCAGACGTTGATCAAGGCGTACATTAACACCCCATACAAAAGAAAGAGGAATTTTCAGCGTTTTTGAAAAAAAAATTAAGTGAAAAGAAAATAAAAGCCAATTTTATCGTATCCAGGACTACGTTATGCACACAAAATATTAAATTTTGCATGCAAAAATTTTTTTTCGAAAAATGTTTGTTTGCGTACGAAAATCAATTTGCGATTGAAAAAAAAACCAAAAAAATTTTGGGCTAAATTTTCAAAATTACTTGAAAAATTTTTTGTGTCGCCATCAAAAAAATGCCAGTCGTACAATTTCCATATATGGGAATTGTATGATAAGCATTTTTTTCAAAAAAGGAAAACCTCAGTTTTTTATCACCAGATTGCTTTATTAGAATCATACAGCCACAGAAATGAGTTTATACCAGTTTTCAACCATTTTTAGTATGGATGTATGGAATTGTATGATAAGCATTTTCGGTGTATGGAGGTCAACCCGGGAACTTGCTTTCACTCTGAGCAGCAAGGTGTTACGTGTCTCAAAGATGTTCGTTCCAAAACCCAGATTACTTGCTTCTCTACAGAAAGCATTAGACATACGTTTAGTTGCTGTAAAAGTGACGCAAAATCTAAGTGTGATAAAACTAAACAGTGAAGCAAAGCTACGAAAATTATCTTGGGTATTTGTTATCCAACGGTATCTGCGGTCTTAATTCTTGAGTCATTTTATGCAGTTTTTTTTTTCACTTGAGCTTGAAAAGACAAGACAGAAACAAGAATTGGGCCGAATTATTTGCATTCAGATTTTTCAATATATACATTATTAATAAAAATTAGTTCCCAAACTTCGTTTTCAACACATTTTTGCTTGAAAATTACAAAAAAAAATTTTATTGTGGCATGTTGAAGAGAAATTAACTGCAGTAACATTGAGGTTATATTTATGCGTGTGCTTATTGATATAAACGAAAACAGGAAAGAAAACAAAAATCTTATTTATGCTATTTGTTTTCATTGAAATAAAGATATTCGTTTGCAGTTTTTCTTGCCACATTTGATCATTGTCACTACCATTGAAGACATAGGGTTGGTTTTATATGGTGTATCAAAACAAAATTGTTTCCATTTGTTTCATCGACAATTATAAAATAATTTAAAAAACAATCAGTTTGAGATTTTGCCAATGCACTGGCTCGCGTCTCATCGTTCGGACAAAAACAAATAAGAGCAGGGACAACCGGTTCCTCTGCAAGTAGCTCAGCATGTTCTGATCATACTTATAAAAAAAAAATTTTGTTTTTGCAATTTTTTTCAAATTAATGCCGTTTTTAGTGGATTACATGATTGCGTAGAGAAATAGTGAATTCAGCATAATCGACAAAATTTTTTTGCTGCTGTCAAGTTTTGTGAGCCTAAAGTTATAATGAAAATAGTTGATTTCGATATAACGAACGTTTCTTGATCGCGATTTTTGCTTGAAAATGAGCTAAAAATCAAAAAACCAGTTTTCCTCGACACCTGGATATTTTTTTGAAAGTTTTTAAATTTCATTAGAATCTCAACTGAAGTGGTTTTTATATGCTATAACACCCAAATCTTACTGATGATTATTTGTTTTAGCTGATTTTGCGTGAAAAACAAAAAAAACTAAAATACACCAGAGTGCAAAGTTCCTCTCCAATATCAATGGTAGGAACAATAATAATAATGTTCCTGCGAATCGCAGAGGAGCTATCAGTAGGCCTTAACAGTCCTGTCGAGAATAGTCCATTTGTATTATCTCCCCACATTCCAGCTGTGATGTTTTGTCTTTTTTTCGATTCCAGGCCGTTTTTTGCGTCTAGAACTTTCACATGGTACCTTTTTTTGCAGCCGAAATTGTTCAGGCTGCGATAGACCTGAAACTAGAGGCAAGAGAGAGCTCGTCCTCATTGAGTCACTATCATTACCCTGGCATGGGATCAAATACACGGTCTGACAATTTCAAACTGAACATCTCACCAGTATGCTAAGTGCCTCTATGCTAAGTGGAGCAATAATCCATAAGTTCTCGACATATTCAATTAACAGTTCAAACATAGTGCTCGCTATCCAAAAAATCCCATTTAAGGAGCAGTTCAAAAAGAGACGCTGAAACAAATTCACACAGACCTCCTGAGTAGGCTAGCTGGGCAATAGACTTGGGTATCCCCCATCGTAGAGTATTAAGTTAAAGTGCCAGTTGTAAAAAAAAAGAGCAACCGTGATTTATAGAAAGTGTTGCGTTGATCGACGTGAAAACACTAAAGGAGCTGTACATGATTAGAGACGAGGACGAGGACGAGGGTTGCAAAGTTCTTCCCAATCGTTATTATTGGGCCAAGAACGCGAGTTTGTTTTACTAGCAGATCGCCAATTTCAATCATCACAATTAATTCCGGCGCAATTCAGTCATAACCATTGAAGATCGCCCGGCCCGAGTCGAAACTTTTGCTAATAATTGCCATACAAGGGGCTGAATTCTCAGTAACATTGGTCCCATAGCTGTCACCGAAAAAAATGGACGCAATGGCGCCCAATTAGGAGCCCAATATTTGAAAAATTGAGTACATTCATTCCCATTTGTACAAAAAAAAATCTTCGAGGCACTCGTAGCAACTCGTTGAGTATACAAGACATCTGTGCTACCAATCCTTAGAATTACTAACTCATATCTCGGATGACTTACGTACACGTTTTCACCATATCAAAAGTCTCCTTTCTCTCGTTTCAATCGCTTTTAGACAGCGACCAGCGGTCTTCTCTGATTGGCTGAACAGATCGAATAACGCTGTTTTTTTTTCGTGAACAAATATACAGTGCTGATTTAAATTAACCGGACAAAACGCGCTAAGCTTGAAATTTAAAACGCGTTTTTCTCAAATTGGGTTGAGTTTAGGTGAAACATTATGATGACAAAACTTGCTTAAAATTTTAGCAGAATTAATATGGTGTAATTTGTTTTGCGAAATTCGGGCTCAAAATTTTACCACAAAAATGGGTCATTTTGGCTTTTCTTAGTTAATTAAAAATTACGCCAAAAATACCCAGTCAATCTCAGACATAATTATACCAAAGTGAGCCCCTTACGTAGCCCAACAAACTTTATGAAGGGTATTTTCTCCAAAATAATGTATAAGTTAATTTATTTTTGTTTGATAGACAAAAAAGGTCATTTTTACTATATAAAACAGCAACTTTTTATTTAAAAACAATTTTTAAACGATTTGCAATTTTTTTTGGAGAATATACCCTTCTTAAAGTTTGTTGGGCTACGTAAGGGGCTCACTTTGGTATAATTATGTCTGAGATTGACTGGGTATTTTTGGCGTAATTTTTAATTAACTAAGAAAAGCCAAAATGACCCATTTTTGTGGTAAAATTTTGAGCCCGAATTTCGCAAAACAAATTACACCATATTAATTCTGCTAAAATTTTAAGCAAGTTTTGTCATCATAATTTTTCACCTAAACTCAACCCAATTTGAGAAAAACGCGTTTTAAATTTCAAGTTTAGCGCGTTTTGTCCGGTTAATTTAAATCAGCACTGTATTTGTTCACGAAAAAAAAACAGCCATATTCGATCTTTTCAGCCAATCAGAGAAGACCGCTGGTCGGTCCTCAAAAACAGCAGCGTGTCAAAACGAAAATAATGAGCCTTTTGATATGGTAACAATGGGTAGGTAAGTCATCCGAAGTAGAGTGAGCCTAAATTTTGATTAAATCTTGAAATGTTTCAGTTTACGGACAGTCAATGCATGGGATATCGATGATGATCTGCCGATTGATGACAGCGATTACTTTCTTTGTCATGGTCTCTCCCGACTGGATAGCTGCCCTGATATCTATGGATCGCATAATTGCTGTGCACAAGACATGGATGTGCTCTTCTTAATCGTCATATAATTTAATTAATTTAATCGCGCAATTCTTGTCATTACGAGGCCAACCGTGTAAACCATCCCACATAAAAATCTCCTATCTTAGAACTCCTAAGATTTGTAGGAAATTTCAGCTGTCTTATAACTTTCTTATAAAAAAATTTCTAGGAATGATTTTCCAAAATTCAATACAACTATCAAAAACATTTAGAATGTGTTCCAATCCCTTAATGACAGATATATGAAATCAAACTGCATTTTTTTCCCAAATTTATGCATGTAAAAGTTTTTAGATAGTGGTTATAATTAATGCGTTTCGAACAAAAGTTTCCGAACCAAAAAATTTGATTTTTTTCAATGAATCTTTAGTTACTGCCAAACTTCCGAAACTTTACTGGGAAAGAGTTCCAATTATTATGCGTTCAAAAAAACTTTTTAGTGACGCAGTTGAGCAATGGTGCTCGAGCATTATTTGCTTTGTGCAATGGTTAAATCTAAAACTAGCTGTCATTTTTTAATGACCATTGCATAAGCTTTTCTTCTTTGGTGAGTGATTGATGTGAATGTAATAAACACTTTTCAGTTTAATTCTGGTTTCAATTCCAATCATTGATATGCTTCAACGCAGAGCAGTAGGGGTTTCCAGTTTTGATCTCAACTGTCCTTTGTGTACCTCGGTATCGTATACATTTTTTTGCCAAAGCTCAGTATTTCTAGGCTCTGCCGACCAGCAAGATGCCAAAAAAGCAATCCAATAGACTGTCCGCAACCGGTGCAATTTTTCCGATGTAAGTTTTGAATCTGCTGTTTGATAAAAAGCATTTAATTCTTTTGAACTTCATATGAAACTTGTTTTTTTTTTCAAAGTAAGTTGTAAGATTTTCACGAATTTCAAAAACGATTTCAATGAAAATCAGTCTTTCGAAAAATAATTTTGAAAATTCTTTTGAAGTTTTTTCTATATAATTTTTCAATCTATTTTTTGTGTAATATTCCTTGATACACGACATTTTGTTTACCGAAAGACCTTCGTTGTGACTATTTAGTTCCGAAATTAGTTTTGCTAATGACTGTTTGACTTTGAAAGAAGAACACGTGATGTCGTAGGGGGAGTGTGGTACAAGCAGAATTGCACCCAGAAGGCGGCCTTCATTCCAATTCTGGCTTCAACTGCAATCCTGCTCGCCATTGGCTGTTTCCGAGCAGTCTTCGTGTAATTACAATTAATTCCCAACTTCATTTACAGTCCCTTAATCTGGCCCAAGTTGGATAGCATAAAATTGTGCATGTTGGTTTCGGAAAACAACTTTTCACTCATTTTAGGACATAAAAAACGAAAAGTGGCAAAAATCTGACATGTCTTTTAATACTGTTTTTGAATAATCTAAGAAGCTGCTTAAGAAATTCAATTTTGCCAACAATTTGGCACTAATTTTAAAAAAGTTTCTCATCACTGAATTTTTGGTGGTTTTCGTGTTCAAGCTGTATGATAGTTTCAAGGGATAACCGATTAGTTATCCCAATTTCAGTTACGCATTCTCTGGGGCGGCCCTAGGATTTTCTCGAGGGGGCAGATTTTCAAAAATTTCAAAATTTTATCGAATGTTTTTTAGGCGGATTTTCCGAGTCGTTTGAGTCAATCTTATGAGTCATTTTTTGGCTTTCTCCTGTTGCGCTCTCGCTTTTCGAGCATAGTTTTTAGTTTAACAGAATTTTCGAACTTTTTTTTTCAATTTTCCGCACAATTTGTTATCGGTTCTTTTAGTCTCAGCAATCAATGTCGAATTAAAGAATTAAAACAGAAAGTTAGACATTCTTTCAAAAAACTCTGCTAACCAATTTCTGTACAAGATACTCAATTTTACCACAAATATGATTAATTTTTGTTTTTCAACAACATTATTCTTGAGAGGACGCAAGACGCAAATTTCGACATCTAAAGACAGGCAACCTGGCTTTCGTAAAAAAAGTGTTTCCGTTTTTAGTGGGTTGGAAGCAAAAAATGATCGTGTTTCACTGTGCGTATCAACGTCCAAAAATCTGTTCTTCGAGAATACTATTGCGGCAGTTGGATTCCCGAGCGTCCTTCTTATGGTACTACTAACTGGCATTCTGCTGGCGATGTTGCACAAAAGATCCAAAGAGGCCAGTACTCGCTCGAATTCAAAAACTCCTGCACAGAGATCAGCTTCTGCAGTGAGTATCCAGCAGTGCGCTCATTTTTTAGTTTGACCGAATTGATTTTCCCGCTCTCCTATAACAAATGGACTTTCAAATTCCAAAGAAGAAGGGGGCAACTTACTAACGTTTTGCAGTTTTCACCTCATTTGAATTCAATAAAGCAAGACAAAACGAAACGAGTTATTAACTAGACGAGTTAATATCCACTTGAAAGTGGAGACATTACACAAAAGTTTGTTTCAGCGAAAAAAAATTGGTCAGGGAATAAGTTCATTCGAGTGTATCATCTAACTGTTAGTCATTTAGCCTAAGTCTGTAAAGTACATACTTGTCAATCATTGGAGTGCTAGCGTGATCCAAGTGTTGGACTCTAAATCACTTTTTGGATAGCTGTTCTTGCACGTTAGTTGAGCAGTAATTCAAATCTTTTAAGCTATCTTTTTTGTACCCCTTGATACGCCGCTGAAGCGCAATTTCTATGCGAGCTTTGGAAACAACAATTCCACTTGGAGATGTTGGCTACGACATACCTTGGACGTCCGGAGGTAGATGTGAATGGAAAACTAAGTGAGGAAAAGTAAGATGCCCTAATTTCTAATCTGTGTTTATGCTCGGAACATTAAGACTAACGGGCGCTTAATAATTGTGCCCACCCACTTGAACTTCGAGACCATTAGACAAACAAGATTTGTGGATACTGGTGAAATCTTGTTTCCAAAAAAGAGGAACAAAACTTACAAAACGGAGACGGAGACGGACAGAACTAGTTGTTTAAGGAGGTATAAGCCCCACACGATGCATCGAGTGTAGCAATGTATTGAAAAAAGGAAAGATTAGAGATTAGAATGCCAAAGGACCATCAACACTACAGGCATCAGAAATTTCAGAGCTAACGGGCGATCTGCAGATAAAATCGGCTCCTGTGAGCAACATACGTGGACCAAGGGTAAAAGGAATCCCAGTGGGTTGATTGTGGACATTTCCATGGACGTGAAGGATTGAGACAACGTGATAGGAACCGCTATAACTGCGATTAGCCGTTTTTCACCACACACCAATAGCAAAAAAAAGCCCAGCCCTCTCAGTCCGCTGCAGTCACTGCAAGAAGACAGGTCACTATGAAATTACGTGTCGAGAAAAGCGCTAGTGCGGGGAGGCCACTCAGTTGGTATGACCGAAGTGGTGGGACGCATTTGACGCAGCAGACGATCCTGGGAAAAAAACGGATTCCCATCTCACAAACTCGCGAGCATTGTTGATCATCGGAGAGCTCAGATGGTTTCGTGGTGATGGTAACCAAACAAGCAAAAAAAAAACTTGTGAAACAAATAACCGGCTCAATTTTCATGCTGAGAGTCAACGGATATCAGAAGCCAAGCTGGGATGATAGCGGAAGTGCAGTTTTGATTTTTTCGAAGAGAGTTTTGAAGAAAACATTTGGATGGGAAAAGAAAGGAAAAGAAATCATAATATCTCCAATACATGATCACTGAGAAGTATGCTCTGTAGAAAAAACAATTGGTAGTTTGCCAAACTGTTGTATTCACATACTCGAACAAAAAAATATCTCAAAACTTTGAAAATCATTGTCGAATGAACTCACGGAGCTCTACATTTTTCGAGAAACGCCACCGAGAAACACCCAATGTGCGAAAAATGCCCACACGGGGAAACCGCATCCGAACGGAAGATCAACCGTCAAACAGCTAGGAACCTACAAAGACGTCAGCTTCATGAAATGAAAAATGGTATTCGGCTTCAGAAAACACTAAACGGTAAGAATTGATTCAAATCGAAATTAAAATCAGCAAAATTACATTCTGTAAAGCTTGACTATTGCACTGTTCTTCGAAAAGGCGTTGCTCAGACCGATGTCCGAACCACTGGTGAAGAAAATAATAAGCATAAAGAATAAGCATAAAGAATAAAACGTTTGAAACGGGTAAAAGAAGCAACCGAACCAAAATTGAAAAGGACAAAAAACCGGAAGAAACGAGAAAAATTGAGTATGACTGAATTTGATACGGAGTTGGACGATATGAGGCCTTCGGCTACCGGTCGTGATTAAAACGAGGCGATAGCAGCTGGACAAGCCACCAGTAGAAAAGAAACCGACGCCAATACAAAAAAAGAGAAAAAAAGAACGACGGCAAAAGAGTTGACATATTTTAAATGGGAGAAGAAGGGGGGCGAAAAGAGTCTTTTGCGGAAAGAAGAAACGAGAAAAACCCTAAACCAGGGATACGGATGGCATCTTGCCTAAAAACTGAATTAAAGCTCTGCAAATCTCCTCTTCACTGGGTCAACGTTGTTGTTACTTGTTAACCATTCAACATTAGAGAAAATAGCGCATTACTATTAATTTACGACCATTTAATTTTATTTTCCACAGGGGAACATCAGCGTCAAAAAAGCTCATCTGAGTTGACTATTTAGATTAATTGGTAATTTAGTCTGAAACTGTAAATGTGCGAACAAGTACATCCCTGTTAGAAATAGGAATTCTAGCGTGATCTCTTGTTGTGATTAATCAATCTTATTTCAATTATCTTATTTTCATTAACCGGTCTTAGACGACTTTGTCTATCGCAAGTGACCTCCTTTGGAGTGAGCGAGCGTCAGTAATATTTGGTTCTTACTTATTAATAACACACATTTTAATTCAAGTCTAAACTTTACCTTTTATATACTTTAAGCTAGTTTAGTTAGAGTTTCAGTGCCTTTTATTATAGCATAGTCATCTGTAAACGAATCTGGCATGAAAGGAATACCCCCGTTCTGTAAAACCCATAGTATCGATCCCCCAACCCAACGGGAAGCTTGGAGTGTTATGTTTCAATTGGCATCAATAACCAAAGAGAATATCGATATAGATAAATGATTAAATCCGCTGGAATTTCTGAAACCGAAGGTTTTATTAACACCACAAGCTACTTAAATGACATCCAGAAAGATAGAGAAAACTTGGAACAGTTCTGGGGTGCTCTAGCAGAAATGGCGACGAAATGCAATTTATCCAGCAGAGAGGAGTGAATCCGCGACATTTTTATCAACAACTTGAAAAACTATGAAATCCAGAGGAATTTATTGACCAAAACCCTTCCTACCCAAGAAGCCCTATATGTCGCCTTAGTAGATGAGAGATGAGAAAAAAGCTTTAAGCCATTTGAAGATGACAAATAAACCTTTCTACCCTGTAAATAATAATGCAGTAAAAAACCACCGAAACTCAATCAAACGGGAACCAACTTCAGCAGTAGATAAAGGAATTTCATGATTGAAACGCGGGGAAAAATTCACGAAGGGACATCTACCTGTCTGTCCGGCGAAGGACGAGATTTGTACATCTTGTAATTTGAAAGGCCGTTTCACAAAAAATTGAAAATCTTGAAGAAAAAACGTAAATATTGTAAATAATCAGAAGTTTGTAGATACTGAATTTGTAAATCGGTCGGATCAACCTGCTGTAAAAGATCATGTACATAAGGAATGTTGCTGCGACGTAATTAATGTTTGGTCAGAAACAAGACAAAGCAATAACTACAATTGTTCGGTATTAAACGTGACTACGATATTTGATAAAGATGAAAAAAATTGAAGAAACTACTTAAGATTTGGTTGTGAAAGTAAAACTTCGTACAACTAAACGTACAAGTGGACTCAGTAACCCCAGTAAATTTTGTGAAAAGAAACGTAATGCACGAAGTTAAACTGCGCGATCCACAATTGAAAATTAATGCAGTCAACCAAGGTACGAAAGATCTTTACTGTGGCTTCATGGATGACCCAATAAAGATCGTGGGACAAGTCATCGTATCAATAAGATCCAATGAATGTACATACGACAAAACATCTTTCTTTATAACCGATGGGCACTAACAAAAAATCTAGGAAAAGACAATCTATCAGACTTCGGAAGAGAAGTTGCGCAAAAACACTTTCCATACTACAAGATCAGTTTTGAACAAAAGTCATTCAAAAATTTCGTCGTATTATACAAGAATGAAACGGAAATCACTTTCAAGAAATTCAATCAATTATTTAGCAGAGTCGTTAGAATAAATAACCAACTTAAGTTTACACATTTTCACGACCCATTGAAACCAATACGATTAAAAGAGCGCAGGGTTCCACATCATTTACTTCTGGCAGTAAACAAAAAGCTTGACAGACTAATCTCAGAAGGACATAATAAAAAGCTAGAATCATGCGACGAAGACAGTTTCATCAGCCCAATTTTAATTACCTGCAAGAAACACAAATCAAAAAAGCTCCGATTAGACTGAAACTTTATTAACCAACAAATTTTCAGAAATAAATGTCAGATGCCGATTATACATAAACTAGTAGGTAAAGTGGCATCATAACTGTTAGAAAAACCGACGAAAACTTTGGCTTACAAACTTACACCTTAAAAAAGCTTTTAGTCAACTAGACTTAGACGACTTCACTAGTAACCAGTGTAGCTTCAGCATCATTCAGGAAATATAACCGGTATAAAGAAATTTTTCACAAGGTGTTACGGCGGACTTGGCCATATGCCAAATGAGTTCCAAAGAGTAATGGACTCAACCATTGAAAACCATTTTTTCACTAACCTAAACCTCGATGATATTTTAATCTCTTCTAAAAGAAATTTTACAGAACTTGAAGCAATCGTCGAAAAATTTTGACTAAATCGACAAAAATAATTTCGCAGTCAAATGGCCCAAATGCAATGTCTTTAAAAATAAAATTGGTTGGCTAGGTTTCAAAATTATTGAAATCAAGAAAAATCCCACAGGAAGATAAAACCTTGGCTTCAAAATCTACCCTTAGCTATAAAATCTATGAAATCTATTACAATCCCTCGGAATTTGAAGGAGTTGCTCTCATTTTTTGGATCAACCAACCAATTTATAAAATTCCTACCGAATCTCGCATCATTTGGAAGTCCATTGAGACCGCTATTCAACAAGAAATCGATATTCACTTGGTCAGATGACCATACCATAGCTTTCGAGAAAATTAAATCA